GGAAGGGGCACAGGGGCTGAGAGGGGGAACAAGGGCTGAGGAAGGGGCACAGGGGCTGAGGAAGGGGGAAAGGGACAAGGGCTTAGCAAGGGGACAGGGGATGAGTAGGGGGGCAGAGGGTGAGTAAAGTGACAGGGACTGAGGAGTGGGACGGGGACTGAGGAAGGGGACAGGGACTGAGTAGGGGGACAGGGGTTGAATGGGAGGACAGAGCTGAGGAAAAGGACAGGGGCTGAGGAAAGGGACAGTCGCTGAGGAAGGGGGACAGGGACTCATCAAGGGTACAGGGTCTGAGCAAGGGGACAGGGGCTGAGTAAAGTGACTGGGGCCGAGGAAGAAGACAGGGGCTGAGGAGGGGGAGAAGTCCGGGAAGAAGATCAGTGGAAGTCACGCCCCCTCCTCCTGACATCATCAGGAGTGGTCGGCCGACTCCACTGGCTGCAGGCTGCAGGGAGAGAGAGGTTATTTAAAAAATCCGAGTCCCCAGCTGTGACGAAATGCCTTTTGTCCCTGGATTGTTAGGTGACAAGCTGCCCTTTGCCCCCGGCTTTTGGAGGAGCCTGATTGCCAGCCTCCTTCCTCATGACTATGGCCCTGGGGTGTATTGCCATTTAAAAAGACTATTTGGGGCTTATTGGCTTCTAAAGACAGTTTCTTCCCATTTGAATCCATGGGAAGGTGTGTTTCTTCCCCTCCCCCGTTTCCTGTCTATTGTTCTCCAGCAGGGCGTTGTCCCAGGCACACTGCCAAACCAGTTGGAACTGACTGCTTTTGTCCCTCCTTGGTTTCTCAACAGCCCTTGCTATGCTTTACCACATGGAAAATCTACTCTGTTCATGGGATCTGAGCGCTGTTCACCTAGATTGGGCGCTCAGATCCGAGCTATCTGGGGATAGGTTAAATGTGGGGGTTCTGTGTAATAAAATAAGAATTATGTATTTTTATGTACTTTTACGTATTTTGCTGTTAGTGTTAAATGTAGATATTTTCTGTACCTGGAGATAATTGAGTTTACTGCAGTGCCTTAAGCCAATTATCTCCAGGATGGAGAGGAGGGATTTCATTGTGTATGTGAGAGTGTTATCATGTTAATTAGTGTTCCAATTGGTTTGTGTCCCTTTTGTCACAGTTTACCACCAGGTCCAGGGGGTGTGCCTCTGAAAACTTGTATATAAGGAGTAATAAACGCTCATTGGAGTCAGATCATCTTGTACCTTCATGAAGTTTCGGCTCATGTTTGGGGGATTGGAGAAACTACACTCTGGGGATTGCTATAATCACTATACTCCCCAGGGTATAATCACTAAGCTCTGCTAAGAGCTTGTTCCTGTTCCTGCTCTCTGGAATTCGGAGAGAGGTCGACCTGCTGGAAGCTGGACCCTGGTCCTGGGTCCAGAGTGGGTGGAGACGGCGAGATCCCAACCAAGCTGCGGCGGTTCGTGGGGTCTGCAGTGGTTATGGTGTCAGGCAGAGTGCTTGGAGTCCTCGGAAAGCACTAGGAGCATCCGTCGGCGGAAGGTACCCGGTCGGGGGGCCAGCGGTTCCGTTACAGTGGTGGCAGCGGTGGGATGGCGTCCTAGTGCGAGGTAAAGCAGCTCAGAGACACAGTTCGTTTGGAATTACAATTTGAGGGCAACGCTAGTATTCGTACAGCGCCCCTGTTCACAGCAAACATGACCTATCGCTTTGAGGGCGACGCTTACAGGGAGGAGGTCAAGAGGCGGTTAACCAGATATGGCCCGAATCTTTCGACAGAGGCGATTCTGGCAACCATGCACAAGTTGGATGAGGAGAATCAAGCGGCATGGGAATTTGAGCTCCTATTGCGGAGATTGGGGCTGTGGCCCATTGATATCTCTCCCCAGCGGCAGACAGCATCCCAGGGCGAGGAGATTGTCGGTCCCTCGTCCCTGCAACAACCATCATCACTGGGAGTTGAGACAGTCGCTCTGACTCCCCAGCGGCAGTGTGTTGTCAAGGGAGAAGAGACAACCGGTCTCTCTCCCCAGCGGCAGACAGCATCCCAGGGAGAGGAGATTGTCGGTCCCTCGTCCCTGCAGCAACCATCATCACTGGGAGTTGAGACAGTCGCTCTGACTCCCCAGCGGCAGTGGGTTGTCAAGGGAGAGGAGACAACCGGTCTCTCTCCCCAGCGGCAGACAGCATCCCAGGGAGAGGAGATTGTCGGTCCCTCGTCCCTGCAGCAACCATCATCACTGGGAGTCGAGACAGTCGGTCTGACTCCCCAGCGGCAGTGTGTTGACAAGGGAGAAGAGACAACCGGTCTCTCTCCCCAGCGGCAGTGCAAGTTACAGGGAGCTGAAGGTGTCGTCCTTCCTCCCCAGCGGCAGTGGGAATTACAGGGAGCCGAAGGTGTCGTCCTTCCTCCCCAGCAGCAGTGTGAATTACAGGGAGCCGAAGGTGTCGCCCTTCCTCCCCAGCGGCAGTGTGAATTCCAGGGGGCCGAAGGTGTCGTCCTTCCCCCCCAGCAGCAGTGTGTCCTACCGGGAGCAGAGACAGTTGGTCTCTCTCTCCAGCAGCAGGACAATGTTATGGGAGTGGAGACAGGCGGTCTCCCTCTCCAGCGGCAGACTGTGTTTCAGGGAGAGGAGCACAGCACCCTATCTCCCCAGCGGCAGCTTACCCTACCAAGGGGAGACACCATTCTCCCAGATGGCGCAGAGGGGACCGTGGTCTCCGTGCCTGACCTACAGGGATGCTGGACAGCCTGTCCAGATCCCCAACTACCCTCACAGGAACAACAGGAGGAGGGGGTAAGTGCGAATTCCCCTCCCCAGCTAACTCCTAACTTGGCCCCAGGGTTAACAGAGGATATGTTAACCCCCACTGACTCCCATGTTCCCCTGGCTACTGAGCCGGACTATGTTCCCCGCACCCCAGCAGAAGAGCTGACAGCTGGGCTGACAGCTGGGCAGAGTGCAGTCGGCCTCTGCCCTCCCTGTGTCCCTTGTCCAGAGCCTGATATCCTGCAGCCTATACCAGCGGAAGAGCTGGCAGCTGGGCAGAGTGCAGTTGGCCTCTGCCCTCCCTTTGTCCCTTGTACAGAGCTTGACATTCTGCCGGCTATCCCAGCGCAAGAGCTGACATCAGGGCAGAGCACCGCTGGCCTTTGCCCCCCAAGTACCACCAGCTATTTGCCCAGCTGCACCAGGAAGGCCGAGGATGCTGCATTTTTATCCTACAACCTGGAACCTACCGGCCAGTACTGTTTATTGTGGGGGGGCTACTTTGCCACTTGTTATTTGTGGGTGGGCTACTCATGTACTTGTTCACTGTGGGTGGGTTTATCGACTAACTCAGGCACTGACCGACAGGTCAGGTACCTGGTTAGTCTCCCCCCCAAAGGGGAGATGTGTGACGAAATGCCTTTTGTCCCTGGATTGTTAGGTGACAAGCTGCCCTTTGCCCCCGGCTTTTGGAGGAGCCTGATTGCCAGCCTCCTTCCTCATGACTATGGCCCTGGGGTGTATTGCCATTTAAAAAGACTATTTGGGGCTTATTGGCTTCTAAAGACAGTTTCTTCCCATTTGAATCCATGGGAAGGTGTGTTTCTTCCCCTCCCCCGTTTTCCTGTCTATTGTTCTCCAGCAGGGCGTTGTCCCAGGCACACTGCCAAACCAGTTGGGACTGACTGCTTTTGTCCCTCCTTGGTTTCTCAACAGCCCTTGCTATGCTTTACCACATGGAAAATCTACTCTGTTCATGGGATCTGAGCGCTGTTCACCTAGATTGGGCGCTCAGATCCGAGCTATCTGGGGATAGGTAAAATGTGGGGGTTCTGTGTAATAAAATAAGAATTATGTATTTTTATGTACTTTTACGTATTTTGCTGTTAGTGTTAAATGTAGATATTTTCTGTACCTGGAGATAATTGAGTTTACTGCAGTGCCTTAAGCCAATTATCTCCAGGATGGAGAGGAGGGATTTCATTGTGTATGTGAGAGTGTTATCATGTTAATTAGTGTTCCAATTGGTTTGTGTCCCTTTTGTCACAGTTTACCACCATAGAAACATAGAAACATAGAATGTGACGGCAGATAAGAACCATTCGGCCCATCTAGTCTGCCCACCAGGTCCAGGGGGTGTGCCTCTGAAAACTTGTATATAAGGAGTAATAAACGCTCATCGGTGGAAGGTACCCGGTCGGGGGGCCAGCGGTTCCGTTACACCAGCCATTCAAATTTATGCGCTCCCATGCTCTGGCGACCTAAGGCTGCCGCCTGAGTTGCCTTATGGACGCGCCGGCCTTGCCTACAGCCAGGGTGAGTATGGAAACTACCATTTCACTGTTATTATTACATGAGCACTCTGAGATTGATAAATATTGATATAGAAATATATGATTTAACTGTGTTTACTGTATACAGGCATTATGCTCAAATACAGATTTTTATTTTTTTTAATTCTTTATTTTTGCAGTGCTTAGGTTTAACACACACGCTTGTCAAGCCACAATAGCTAGTCCAAGCCAATGAAGTAATACATATTTTACATTTTACAGTACCATGGCATTCGTACATAGCACTTTTTTTTTCTATTAATTATAGAACCTGGTTACATAGAAAATCTGCTTGTCTCAGTGTTTGGTCATTTAGTGAATTGGTTAATACTGCAAACTGTGGGTTAACATGCTAGGTGAACCTTGCTAAATCTTGCTTTTAACGGAAAGTAACATCGCTGTACTATTTAGACATAAGGTTGTTATGCTGTGTCAAGATAAGTAGAGCCTACAATGTATATATACAGGGTGAGGGCACTTGATGATACTTACACCAGTTTTAAGTTACTAATTACTCATGGGTTAACTTTGCTAGGGTATTCTATTCTGATTTTGCTGTTGCTATTGCTAAGAGCATAGTTTAACATAGACTTAGAGTCCTGAGAGCAGTCGCTTGTAATATGTGAACACCCCACCGTCTCAGCAGTGTGCAGTTAAATATTCCTACTCCCTGGAGGGATATTGGGCAGGCTTTGCTCCCTCAATGAGACCCAAGCTGGTTCCTCAAGTCATGTCTGTCTGGGTTCTGTTGTGTGGCTGCTGTAAGTCCCCCTGCGCTGAAGAGTTTGTTGCAGCCGCTTTCCTCCAGCCGTTTGGTGTCCTCTCCCTGCAGTTTGGCTGTTAGGTGTCGCTGTGGAGGTGGTGCGGGCCAGGTTCTTGGACTGGAGCGATGGTGTGCACTCTGTGCCGGTCGGCTGATCAGGCCCGAGGTGTTTTCTATTGGATCTGGGTGATTGGGTCTATGCTGCATGTCTCAGCTTGTAGTCGTTCCCACCTTTCCACCGTGCGTAGGTTCCGGGCCTTGGTAATATTGGCCTGGCATATATTGAGGTTGTGTATTGGGTTACCTCTTTCAGACGCACAGGGCTTGTGTAGGTTGCATGGAGGTTGTATCCCCCCGGGAGCCGGTGGTATCTGTGCGAGCCAACAGGGTTACTCTGCCACCATTTTAGATATGGCTCGTGGCCTGGCCTGCGTTTTGGCGGTTTGTGCATTTGTGCTTCAGTTATTGTAAAGCACTGCGGAATAAGCTGGATCTATATAAATAATAACCAATAATAATAATAATAATAATAAATAAATGTTATACATAGAGTGTTGTACTATAAAAATAGTAACAAATATCCAGGAGCTTCCCAGTAGAATTAATATAATGTAGGACCCTTAGTCTAAAATAACGCACTTAAGTAGTTCAATGAATAAAAAAGATAGAACATAAAATATACATAAATATCTTGAATTTCTGATGCCAGAGATAATACTTGTATGGCAAAGGTGTCTAAAACCCTGGAAAAAGAAATACCCCAGGGCAAATGAAACCTCTTGCCAGTATTATCTCTGGCATCAAAATGTATTTATGTATATTTTATGTTCTATCTTTTTTATTCATTGAACTACTTAAGTGTGTTATTTTAGACTAAGGGTCCTACATTATATTCATTCTACTAGGAAGCTCCTGGATATTTGTTACCATTTTTATAGTACAACACTCTATATATACTGTTTATATAGGTTTCTGGTGAATCCCTATACCTTTCCAGTTTTAGAGCTTTCTACACACGGTCCCATTCCCTCTTATTTCTGTACATTCTATACGTAGATATCAGATCTTTTACTTTATAATAAATAAATGTTATTCTATTGGGTTTTTTCAGTGAACACATGAATGCTGTGTGTCGTCTTCTGTAATAAATAATGTATGAGTGCTGCTATATTGTAAATCTTCATGAGTAGTTTGTAGTATTGTGTATGATACCTATGAATGTGGGCTGTGTATGGAGGCTTCTTGTGGAATTGTGTGTGTGGATGATATGTCGAATAGTGTGTTGTTTGTATGGGGCTGCTTGTGGTCTTGCATCTGAGTGGCTGCTTGTGGGATTGTGTGAGTGTATGTGCATTGTCAGTGGTGTAGTGTTTGTGGGGACTGTGTGTGTGTTTTTGTGTGTGTGCTATTTGTATCTTTTGTATGAGGGGGAGGATTATTCTGCAGCTCTGTGTATATCTAGCACTTAGCGTGAGGGACGGCATTTTCAGGGGGGCAGCAAAAACCGCCACCCCCCCCTCAAGTGCCCGGTAGATGCTTTGTTAGTCTCCTTCATGGGGGCCCAAGAGTTGCCCAGCTGGCAGGGCCCCCGGAGGAGGGAGGCTGTGCATAATCTAGCTGGGCAGTGAGGGAGTGATCTGTGTGCTCTCCTTGCTGTGCTGTCACTCCAGTCCGGGAGGAAGGAGATAGCACGCCAGCCTTCCTTTTTTTGTGTGCCAGCAACAGTATCAGTGCGTGTGTCTGTGAGTGTGTGTCAATGAATGTGTGTGTCTGTCAGTAGTCCTTTTCTCCATACATGTATTTATAGCATGTATAGCATACGGACACGCTATCTAGTCTACTATTTCTGCTTTTGCTAAATGCCTGGTTAATTCAGTTCCCAAACGGTTCAATAATGTTAGAAAAGCTTTCCAAGTGGTTTATGTACAAAAATTCCCATAGACTTTAATGGTGACTTCTGCAGATAAATAATTTGTAAAATGTTTCTAACAGTATTGTATCATTTTGGAAAGCTTATTGTTATTTTAAGACCTTAGATAGGGCAATGGATTATGTTTTTTTTTGCCCCTGACATTGTAGCCTATTTCATTTCCAGTTGTTGCTGGTGACCATAGGTTGCAGTTTTCTGTCACAGAAAATTTCTTGTGTAAACTTACAGCATCATATAAAAAAAAAACACGTTATAGCAATAAAGATAATGTATTGCATTTAGCATTATATAATGAAGTTCTAATAGCATTGATGGCATTACTGTTTATGTCATAGCAACACAATAAATGTTACCTGGTTGGCAAAGCAACTAAATTCCATAAAATATACACAGATTGGGTGGATCATTGTCAGCCACCATTAATATGTGGTAAACTATGGAAGCATTTCTTTGATGATTTTCCTATTGTAAGAAATTATGACTCTCTTACAAGGTTATTCTTTAGGAAATGTGGACAAATAAAACACACAGACAAGTGTATGTAAAAATAGAGTATATATATATATATATATATATATATATATATATATATACATATATACACTGCTCAAAAAAATTAAGGGAACACAAAAATAACACATCCTAGATCTGAATGAATTAAATATTCTTCTGAAATACTTTGTTCTTTACATAGTTGAATGTGCTGACAACAAAATCACACAAAAATTAAAAAATGGAAATCAAATTTTTCAACCCATGGAGGTCTGGATTTGGAGTCACACTCAAAATTAAAGTGGAAAAACACACTACAGACTGATCCAACTTTGATGTAATGTCCTTAAAACAAGTCAAAATGAGGCTCAGTAGTGTGTGTGGCCTCCACGTGCCTGTATGACCTCCCTACAACACCTGTGCATGCTCCTGATGAGGTGGCGGATGGTCTTCTGAGGGATCTCCTCCCAGACCTGGACTTAAACATCTGCCAACTCCTGGACAGTCTGTGTGCAACGTGACGTTGGTGGATGGAGCGAGACATGATGTCCCAGATGTGCTTAATTGGATTCAGGTCTGGGGAACGGGGGGGCCAGTCCATAGCATCAATGCCTTTGTCTTGCAGGAACTGCTGACACACTCCAGCCACATGAGGTCTAGCTTTGTCTTGCATTAGGGGGAACCCAGGGCCAACCACACCAGCATATGGTCTCACAAGGGGTCTGAGGATCTCATCTTGGTACCTAATGGCAGTCAGGCTACCTCTGGCGAGCACATGCAGGGCTGTGCGGCCCCCAATGCAATGCCACCCCACACCATTACTGACCCACTGCCAAACCGGTCATGCTGGAGGATGTTGCAAGCAGCAGAACGTTCTCCACGGTGTCTCCAGACTCTGTCACGTCTGTCACATGTGCTCAGTGTGAACCTGCTTTCATCTGTGAAGAGCACAGGGCGCCAGTGGCGATTTTGCCAATCTTGGTGTTCTCTGGCAAATGCCAAACGTCCTGCACGGTGTTGGGCTGTAAGCACAACCCCCACCTGTGGACGTCGGGCCCTCATACCACCCTCATGGACTCTGTTTCTGACCGTTTGAGCAGACACATGCACATTTGTGGCCTTCTGGAGGTCATTTTGCAGGGCTCTGGCAGTGCTCCTCCTGCTCCTCCTTGTACAAAGGCAGAGGTAGCGGTCCTGCTGCTGGGTTGTTGCCCTCCTACGGCCTCCTCCACATCTCCTGATGCACTGGCCTGTATTCTGGTAGCGCCTCCATGCTCTGGACACTACGCTGACAGACACAGCTTGCATTGATGTGCCATCCTGGATGAGCTGCACTACCTGAGTGGTGGGTTGTAGACTCCGTCTCATGCTACCACTAGAGTGAAAGCACCGCCAGCATTCAAAAGTGACCAAAACATCAGCCAGGAAGCATAGGAACTGAGAAGTGGTCTGAGGTCATTGGGGGTGTCTTGCTAATTGCCTATAATTTCCACCTGTTGTCTATCCCATTTGCACAACAGCATGTGAAATTGATTGTCACTCAGTGTTGCTTCCTAAGTGGACAGCTTGATTTCACAGAAGTGTGACTTGGAGTTACATTGTGTTGTTTAAGTGTTCCCTTTATTTTTTCGAGCAGTGTATATATATATATATATATATATATATATAATATTGCTTGACAGTTTTGTCATGCGTATAAACATATAAACATTGTATTAATACAATGATCTTGAACGCAAGATAATGCAATACCTGAAAATTTTCTTTAGTTATGCTTACTGTATGTATGGCTTGACTGTGTCTCTTTGGATCAGTTGGACCAGTTGGCAGTAGGTCCTCCCCTTGGAACTTTCCTGACCTCCTTGGAACTGCCCTTTGTGGTCAGAGTGGTCTGGTATTTCATCCCTGGTTTACCCTTTGATGTCATTCCCCCAGCTACAAAATGTGACCCAGTACGGTGGAATCTAGGGTAGGTTGGGTATTCCCCAGCTTCAGAGACAAAAACGCGTGGAAAAACAAATGCTTCCATTGTTTCACCTAGATGTTAGAAACTCTGGCCACAAAATTGAATTGCACCATTTTCAGACTTCGTGCCCCTGGTGGCACTTTTTTGGTTGGGGGTATCAAGGTCGCTGCTCCCAACTTCTGAGTGAGACCTGCTAGCGATCCTGCTATGCTTGCCAGGTCTCCATGCAGTGAGTGAGGGGAAGAGGCAGGACAGGAGGATGTGAAGTGAGGTCACTCTCTGTGCTCTCCTGTCCTGCTGAGTAATGAGGAAGAGCAGCCTGGAAGAAACACCAGGTATTTATGTTCTTCCCTGCACAGCTCCCTCCTCACTGCACAGATTCCATCTCTTAAAGTATAAGTACAGCATGGGGGCAAAATAAAACAAGGAACAATATAAAGGCAGAGAAATATATAGACAGAAATTAAATGGACAGAGAGAGAGCAAAAGAGAACATTAGAACAGATCCATGTATAAATAGGCATATAGACAGAGACAGGATTTTTATAACGAATAGAACAGAAAAGAATAGATTAAAAATAGGTCAATATAAATAGAATAGGTATTAAATAGTAACCAGTAAGTTATCAAGGCACAATGGTTCATGCCATATAATGGACTGGAAACCCCCCTCCCCTTTTTCTGTCACTCATTACAGGCATACCCCACTTTTAAGTACACAATGGGACCAGAGCATCTATGTAAAACAAAAATGTACTTAAAGTGAAGCAATATCTTTTTTCACTTCCCAAAGCATGTACTGCATTGTAGTAGTAATTTAAAGGCATAACTGATACTGCAACTGCGGATTTCCAGTGATTTTATTTCCAGTGATTTATTTAGTGATTTCCAGTGGGCTTTTATTCAATTAGAACAAACAGTAAAAAAAAAATCTCATTCCAGATTGTACCATTTATCTTTAATGTTTTACTCATCTGACAACCTTAGACTAAGAGGAAAAGTAAAATAAACCTGCCCACTGGGCCATTTTCTGCCAGTACAGTGCCAATTTGTATTTATTAGCAGCTTAGTTGCACACTTTGTTTAGAAACACCTCTTCATCACTTTAAGCATTTATGGTTTAACTTTGAATCCTCAGAATTGTGGCTAATGCAGCTAAGCTGCTAAGTCATAGTTATAGAAAATGGCAGGGTAAACCCTTTCACTGGATGGCAGCCGATTGCAGAATATGGACAATGTAGGGGCAGAAAAATATATATATGTTCGGCTAGGAGTAGGCATTATAAATTTGAGTTGATTAGGTTGTGCCATGTCAGAAGGTGTGAAAAGTTCTTGCCCCAGTGACACTGAACTGAGCTGCTCCGGGCGAGAATAGAACCTTTCATTTACTGTTCACTCGCAAACAGAAGAGGCGCGGGTATGTCTGTACTCATGAGTGTATGTAAAGTGAGTGTATGTAAAGCGGGGTATGCCTGTATAGTGTGACGAACAGGTTTGTGGTAAAGGACAGGGCTAAGCATGGTTCTCTGCCAGTTTGTCATTGGTCCTCCAAATAGTATACAGTCACACCTTCAGCCAGTGAGGGGAGCTAAAGAGGCACACAATAAAGTCCGCCCCACCCCCCAAGTTAAACTGCATGGTGGGCTGCCCTGAGTGCTTAATACCTTGAGTAATCCTAGTTAAAAAAAAAAAAGGAAATTTGCAAGATAATAGACTAGGGGATATTGGAGAGAAAGAAGTGTAGTATAAGAGTTAAGAGAAAATAAGTTAGGAAGTTGGTGAATGAAAGATGGCAAGGTCTACAGAGGAAGCAAGGGACACTAGCCTCAGGGAAAAGACTTACCTTTTGGTTTTGCAAGAGATGATTTTAAATAGTAACCTTTAGATGTTAATGCTACATATATAGAGAGAGATTGTTCACAGTTACCTAATGAATACCTAATATAACCACACAGCTAATTTTATCACTGTCCCAGGGATCTTAATCAGCATTTAAATTGGTATTTAATTGTTATTTGACATAATTGTTAGAGAAGTCTTATTTATGTCAGGAAAACTTTCTTATAAAAATATTTATTGAAAAAAATGTGTAGGTGATATCAAAAGTTTAGCATTGGGGGCGTGGTATGGACACTGAAGGGAGCAGATGCATGCTGGCCGAGCTCCCTCTACTTACACGGCATATAACCGTAAATCAAGGGTATATTGGGTATATCCTGAGATGGGCAAGAAGGCAAAAAAACGGACAACCATCGTGGGGGAAGGCCTGACCTGTTGCAGCAGCCGTGGCCTAGGCCGAAGATGGCGCCGCCAGTGGACTTACCTTATTCCTCCTCCGAGGTTGAAGTCCTCAACACCCCCAACGACATCCTGAGATCGGAGAGCTCAAACCTATTCTCACTGAGGGAAGATCTGCAAGCCCCAGCTACTAAGGGGGATATTCAAGCCCTGATGAACAATATCCGAGCTTTCTTTAATGCAGACCTAGACATCATCATGGAAGATGTATCTGCAGTCACAGTCAGAGTGTGAGGGGCCGAAGAGTCCGTCTCTTCCATAGCCCAACGCCAAGTACGCGACGCAGAGCAGATCCAGCAACTTCAGGCCGCACAAAATGCTGCCCAACTACAAATAGATGCACTGGAAGACACTAGAAGATACATAAACATCAAAATTAGAGGTATTGCGGAGACAGTCGACAACCAAGAAATACTGCACTTCCTACGCCGCCTATTTGCTGCTCTATTACCACAACGAGTGGCTAAAAACATACAACTGGATGGCTGCTTCAGACTAGCCACATCAGCTAGAGCCCCGGCCGGAGTGCCTCGAGACATGCTGGTGCACTTCCTCATGCTCAGGGTCAAGATGGCGGTCCAACGCGAGGTGAGGAACAAGACACCTTACCACTTTGAGGAGATGCAGCTACATTTTATGCAGGATTTATGCCGCTCCACTCTGACCTGGAAAAGATCCCTCCAACGAGTCACGCAGTCACTGAGATTGGCGGGAATTGCCTACAAATGGGGGCCATCACATTCCCTGATAGCCACTAAGGACAGCTGCAACTACACTATCTCCTCAGCAGACGAGGTGACGGCTTTCCTGCAGAAGCTGGGCATAGCACAACCTGCAACCGCCAGTATGGGATGAACAGGCACCTGGGATGTTGCCAAGATCGTTCCGTTCACCCCCCGAGCTGGAGTCGACACCGGCTGATACCATGAAGGACACTTGGTGGTAAGATATATGCAAACCGAGACTCAGCCTGTGCATACACATTCAGCAGCACCCTATGTTTCGTTACAGGTTTTAGTTTAGTTTTATTCTGTGTTCCATGGCTACCCATTCACTCTCAACAGTGTCAGGCCAGTCTCATGAGAGCCTGACCCGGCCTACTCCCCCCCCCCCCCAGGCTCATGGGTCATTGAGCGAATCTTTACAGTATTTACAGTACTCACATTAACTAATGCAGCTATAAGTGAACAACTTCCACTTTAATAACAATTAAAAGCCCCTCCCCTGATTAGGAAGTCAACACCACCCCGACACCAACCTCTCACGGTGCCCTTGCCTCCCACCAGCTATCCCCATCACTGGCCCACTAGTATGGGCACATGGGAGGCACACGACAATAACACCCACATGACAGCCGAGGCAGGGGACTGGGATACGAAAACCTTGGCCTGTTTTAGATCATCCATCCTAAACGGGGTGACGCCGGCTCCGACCAGTATAGCTAAGTTAGGTACCAAACCCCCAAAGATGTTATATTACTTATGTTAATTTTGTTATTACTTTTATTATTTTCTTTATAATTATTGCCTGATTGTACCACTTGCAGTATTTTTAGTGGCCTCACAAATTCCTGGTAGGTTATGTACCTGGGATTACCTCACTACCTGAGCGTCTTAGCCTAGTTCCACGTTATGTGTTCAATAGGCTAGCCCACATGATACTACCTAGCGCACTATTCAGTAACCTCTTTCACAACTCTAGCGAGTATTTTGGCCTAAACCTTTAGCTATTGTATATGTGTATCATTCTACTTAAAAGCATTTCCAGCCATATATTTTCAGTATGTATATAACTTAAATTGTTTAAAAAAACAGTGCAAATTATTATGACATGTTACCTGCCCCTTTTCACTCATATAATTGCATACAAAATTGTTTATGGCATGTCACTGCACCCACTTGCACTACAAAAATAAAGAATTTAAAAAAAAAAAAGGTTAGCACTAAGAAACTAACTTTAAAAGGAAATATGCAAACTAACTCTGATGTGAGCTGCCCAAGGTCATATCCTTCCACATGCCATTCAAGTATGGTAAGCTACTGGTGATGGAAGAGCTGTTTAGAGTTCCTATGTATCGTAGAGCACAACATATAGAGATTGGGTGGCGAAATTCCAGGCCCTCAAGGCTGTATTATGTTCCAGGATGTTCCAGTCTTACTGTCTTCTAGCAACATTTGTTTAGGTAGGTCACAACATGCTACGTCTAATAATATTAAATACAGAGGGAGAAATCTGAGAAGATTAATAATGATAAAATAAGAAGTACAGTATAAACTGATGGATGCTTCTAATATGAGTTGCTTTCTGCAGGTCATGGCTATTGACCCTTAGGCTTGCCTTCAGACAAAAGCACTTATATATATATATAAATATACTATACTATATATATATATATACTATATTGCCCCCGTTAAGCCAGTCGAGTGTAACACTAGGGGCTACTGCAAGCTACTCTTCAGACTCACTCTTTGAGTCTTAAATTAAGACTTTTTTCATCCTCTGACTTTTGCCATATTACTTTTGGTTTAGTGTCCTCCCACACTACAAAGAACTAAATCAAGTCTAAACCTCTACATCTTGCAGAAAAAGTGCTGAAGTTCCAAAGTGCCAAAGTTCTGAAGTGCCAAAGTTTCGAAGTGCCAAAGTTTGAAGTGCAGAACCAAACCAGAGTGCCGAAGTCCCGAATTTCGAAATGCTGAACTGAACCGAATATTTTTCCCATGCACATCCCTAACCAACACTACACACAAATACACCCCTGCATTCAAACTTCAACACTACATACAAGCACACTCCTTCATTGAAACGTCACCACTAAATACAAAAATACCTCTGTGTTAAACACCAAAATATATATAAACACACCCTTGCATTCAAAAATCAACACTACTCATAAAGGAATGCTTGCATTTCAACACCAACACCACATACAAACATGCTACTACATTCACACAAACATACTCCATACAAAAACATGCTGACAAATTATGAAAATAGTGTCAGTGTGCAAATATTTCTGGTCATAGCTGTTTATATAAAAAAGTAGAGGTGCAGCACATTAATAGAGAATAGAGACTACATAGAGTAGTATTGCAACACAAAAAGACTGGTAAAATAAAAGTATAAAATGCACTAACAAACCAGACTGTAATTAGAATGTTGAAAATAGCCGTTAAATAGAATTATATCTCAATACACAGCTTTCACAAGTTGTAGTTATCTCAGGCAACTGTAAATAAGTTAGCAGGGCTGGTTCAAGGATTTTTGGCTATACAGAATTTTTGTGCCCCTCCACCTCACAAACAAAATGCATCTTCACCTGTGTGTCCCTTAACCTCCCACTTTGACTTTATTTTCCTTCTTTTGTTTGTCTTACCCATTTAGTGTTTCTTATACCCTTTTTTCTTGCACCCTGCTTTGGAATATCGTATTCCCCATTATTTTCCCCTTTGTGTGTCTCTTACTTTCTCCCAGACCCTCTCCTAGTCTTCCTTTTTGCATATTTTCCCCTTCTCCAGCCCCTCTGTATGTCTCTTTTCCTCATCTCATTCATATGTATCTTCTTCCCCAAGCCCCTTTTGTGTGCCTCTTCTCTCCAGCACCTTGTCTACCCATTCTCTCTGGTTTTCTCTTTTCCCCTTCCCCATCCACTCTGTGTGTCTCTTTCCCTACAGTCTCTGTGTGTCTCTTTCTCCCCCAAGTTCCTCTGTGTGTCTCCTTCTCCCTTTCCCCAGCCCCTCTGTGTGTTTTTCCCCCACCCATTTGTATGTCTATTTCTCCCCTTCCCAAACCCTTTTGTGAGACTTTTTTCACTCCTGCCTACTACTGTACCCTCTTCCACTCCCTCCTATCCCTTTGTGGTCTTTTCCACTCCCCGCTGTTTTTTATGGTGTCTTCCACCTTCCCTCCTGCTTACCACCTTGTAGCGTGGCTGTTCATTGCAAGCAGTTTCCTGTAAAACCGGGTAGAGGATACAAAGGATACTCTACCGTGGTACACTTGGCCTTGCTTCATGAAGTGACTGGCAGGAGGGGAAGCACTGTGTTGTGTGCACCCCTTCTGCTGGTCACCCGAGGTTTGCACCCCCGGGCAGACGCACCATAGTTGGTTGCCTGTGCTATATGATGGTTGCGCCGTCCCAGTATGTTAGAGGGAAATAGTGCAGAACACTCCACAATATAAAAATATATGCATTTATTGCATGTAACTCAATAAAAGAAGAATGACAGCTTAGCATCACTGCATGAGGCAGACAGCCAACCACCACGCCCTGTGCACGTTGTCCCTGCTTGACTTCCTCAGAAGATCTCGTTCTTTGGATATTATGCATAAATATATTAAAACTAATACACCGTGTACCCCACAATCCAGTTGGCTGAGGGGTGTGTCCTCCTGTAACCAGTAATTTTTGTTCCTGGTCATGTCATCCTGCTAAACACATGATCCTTCCATGTCAATGTCTGCATGCTAGAGGCTGGTGGGTACATGGTTGCCTTGAGACTGTCCATTTGTTGGTGAAGCACAGAGGATGCCCCAGTACACATGAACTACTAGAGATATTAACATCAACTTGGAAAATCCAAATACCAGAGAATAGTTGAAAATACCTCAACCTTTTGCTTATTGAGATAGTGCTTGTGTGTGGGCAGCATGATGACGTAGAGCGTGTAGACGTGTGGGCGGAGTGTGAGTCTGTGAGGGAGAAAGGACGCATGCAGAATCCCCTGCTGCAGGATGATTTTCTCAGAACTGTGTTTGAGCTGTGCATTTTGTGGAGGTCCACTCTGGCAGGTCTGAGGGGTCGGCACGCGCTGGTTCTCAGCAGACCAAGTTTCGTTGGAGCTGACAGGTCCCTGGAGATCCTGGGAGGTCTGAAAGGTCAACAAGCGCTGGCTCTCAACATACCTGGCTGCCTGGTCGGAGTTGTGCAGGAGCTGAGTGGTCTCTGAAGATTCTGAGCAGTCTGGGAGGTCAGCAAGCACTGGCTCTCAACAGACCTGGCTGCCTGGTCAGAGCTGTGTTGGAATGGTGTGACCCTGTCAGAATCTGGGAGGTTTGAGATTTGAAAGATCGGCATGCACTGGCCCTCAATACAGAGATTTTTATCATCTATACCAGGGGTAGGCAACCTTTTAGCAGCACTGTGACAAAATATGATTGTGACATCCCGTAGCATGCCGGTCCTATTTTGTTAAATTGAGTTGTGTATGTTACCGTATTCTGCTTGTGTTATT